GGTCTGTGTAGCCACTTAATTCGAACTAATGGGAGGCTAGTCCTTCCCAGCTTGGCCTGGTGGCCACTCTGGGCTAAGCCAGGGAAACTCTTCTGCCCCCCTCCCGGCCCCGGAGCCCTTAAAGGGCCACGGTCTGGCTACAGTGCCTGTGCCAGGTGCAAGCCTGCCAGCACCCAGCCAGCAGACCCTGCACCTGGCACGGCATGAGCCAGCCACCCGCTGCCACCCAGCCCTCCCCCTGTTCCCGGGACCAGGCTGCTGCACTACAACACCCATTGCACAGCATCATAAGTAGCATCTGCTATATCTGGACATATACAAGTTTGTAAATGTGTTAGGGCCTCACCTCATCCCTTGCTCCTCCCTTCTTCTCACAAAGTGTATATGAGTCATGCTGTGTGTGTATTTTAAGTTTATTGTTTTTAATACATGTAATTTTTGGGTTTGAAAGCATTCTTTATTCCATTACATGAAAGCACACTGCAGGAAAGCAAGAAGCACTTTTCTAACAAGTGACTTGTATGGACCAATCACAATCCCTCACTAACAGGGCGGCCCATAAGCCTAGGCAGACTCGGCGGTCCGCGGGGGCCCCGCCGGCCTGGCCAGCCCAATGATTACATCACGGCCGTTGACGGCCGTGCAAGCGGGGGTGCTAATTGTGCCTTCCGCCTGGGGCACCAGCTGCTGCAGCTGGCCTTGGACTGCTCCTGCTAACATTTCAGCCAGTAGACTTCAGTGCATGGCAACAAACATTCCTGACTTTCAGCATCAAATTGCTTCCTTAAGTCTTTCCAGTCCTTATGGCCCACATGCTGTGCTCCTTTAATAGCCCTGGTCTCAGGCTGTTCAAACTCAGCCTACAGGCACTGCATCTCAGCAGTCCAGTCCTGAGTGGAGCTTTCACCCTTCTCTTCACAAATATTATGGAGGGGTGCTGCACACGTTGATGACTATAGGAATATTGTCATCAACCAGGTCCAGCTTTCCATACAAACATCACCAGAGTGCTTTTAAACCACCAACAATATACTCGATAGTCATTGCACCTGCTCAGCTTGTTGTTGAGCTGCTCCTTGCTGCTATCAAGGATCCCAATTTATGACTCCATTGGCCTTGGCATTAAGAGGTAGGTGAAGTCTCTCAGAATCACAATGGGCATTTTAACTCCCTTAGGGTATGTCTACACTACCCCACTAGTTTGAACTAGCGGGGTAATGTAGTCATCCGCAGTTGCAAATGAAGCCCGGGATTTGAATTTCCCGGGCTTCATTTGCATGAAGCCGGCCGGCGCCATTTTTAA